TGGAGACCTGTTTCCCCTTGGGGATTGCTGAATGAGATCTGCTGTGTAGTGACAGCCCTGTCTCTTGACAGGAATGTGGTCCTCTGGAGTCAGAAGCCATGGTAATGGGTGTCCTGAGCAAGGCCTTTGATGTCCTGGTGCTGAAGTTTGGAGTCCAGAAGCGCATCTACTGCAATGTAAGTACCTCACCAGTGTGAGACAGTGCCAACGCTGCCTTTCCACAGCAGCCTGGCATCACTGCAGGCAGTGGCTGTCCTGGTGCCCTTTTGTGCCAGTCCTGCAACAGCAGAGCTGTGCCCAAGCTGGGCCAGCCAGAGGGGAGGGAACCTTCCTGGAGTTTGCCCTCCATCCCTCAGCCCAGGCAGGCACAAGGGACGGGAGGGTCTGGATCAGCCCAGTCTCTGGGGACCAGCTTCTCCCTGTGACATGCTGGGTACAAAGGAATAAAGCCAGATTCAGGGGAGCAGAGATAAGCGTAGATTTGAAGCGAGGACAGGGAGCGAGGCTGGTTTTCATTCTGTTTAATCAGATGGTTTATCTGGGGCTGTGACAGCAGCGCTGTGGGCCAGCACCTGCACTTGGTGACAGCATCCTCTCTTAATAACCTGGTTATATGTCTGGCAATGACATCTTTAAACAGGACATAGAGTGTGATATATGGGCTGGTGGTGTATGGCGGCAGCCCCTGATTTATGTGCAAGGCTCAGGCTCAGGGGCTGCTGCATCCCAGTTGTTGAAGAGCTGCAGAGGCAGCGTGCTGGGCAGAAGCAGCCTCAGCCTCAGCCCCGGGCCAGGTGGAGGAGAGCTGGGGGGGCATGTTCCCAACACTCTCCCTGCCTGCAGGCGCTGCCCTTGGTGGACTTCCGCTTCCAGAAGGCAGGGAAGAAGCCAGAGCTGACACTCCTGTGGGAACCAGAGGAGCTGGAGGAGGAATCTGTGCCCCAGGTAAGACCTCCACAGCATGGGACAGGCTCACAACACCATGGGGCTGGCATGGAGGCTGTGGGCAACATGTGGATCCTGTGATGCCTGCAGGGGCAGGTCTGGGAGGCAGGACTTGCCTCGCAGGGTGTCAGGTCCTGCTGTCTGTGTCCCTTTCCCAGTGAGCCCAGCTTCAACTTCAGCCTCCTCTGCTACCCAGTCCAGTCCCATCACTGCCCTCACAATCTGACTCCTCCACAGCCTTCAGTCTCTGCCCTGCCTGCTGTGTGCCCTGCCTCCCAATTCAGGTTTTTCCAGGAATTGAATTAACATGATGTTTACTTCCTCCTTCCAGATTATCAATTAAGATGTTAAGTAAGATCAGGCTTAAGGCAGCTCTTGTCTAGACCCTTCCCCCCCATCCTGGCACTCTTTGCCCCTGACATGGCTTTTTCTTGGGGTTTCCATTCCTGTGACAGGGTTGAGCCTCAATTAGGAGAAATTTTTGAAATCAGACTTCCTGAGATGCAGTCTCAAATGGCTTAACAGCATCTAGAAATCTCTCTCTTGTGTCCCTGTCATCTATTAACTTGGTAACTCAATCAAAGGGAGCAATCACATTTGTCTGGCTTGATTAAGTGGTGCTTCTTTGCCAGCTTTTGTCTGGCATGGCTGTAAAACCCCAGCTGTGTTGACTGCTGCAATCTCTGCCTGAAGGGTTGAATCCCAGCCTCTCCCTGCACCACTCCAGGGGCTCTGCACTTGAGCCCCAATTCCATCCAAGCGCAGCACATCCCATCCTTGTCCACTCAGGTTTCCTGACACAGAGTGGGCTGACCCTCCCAGCTGGGGTGATGCATGTGCTGGAGAGTCCTTCTCTTCCCAGGGTGGATGTTGTGATCAGAGCTGGATCTGGCTCTGCAAACATTTCTGCAGGCCTCCCTCCCTTTGAAGTTGAGCTTTCCTCTCTCAGCTTGGCTCAGAGAAGCCCTGTGGATGCAGCCTGGAGTGGCCTCAGTTCCCCCTTTCCTACAGGAGCAGGGATCACTTACACCCTAGCAGGGAACTGATGAAAAATGATGCCCCAGCATGAGCAGGGCCCATTTTGGTTAAGCAAACAGTTGGTAGAGGAAACTCCTCCACAAACCTTCCACACCTCCTAAGAAAACACTGGAGCTCTCTCATAGGATCAGGCTCTGAGCTATCCTCCAAGCCAGCACATCCCTGAGTTTATAAATCTGCAGCCCTGGGATGAGCCAGATTCCTGTGAGTCATGCTGAACTCTGGTAGATGTCACCTGGACACCCCATAGCACCAAGCACCCCAGCTGGCCCCAGCCCTTGGTCTCTAAAACTCTTCCTGGTTTAGCTGAGCCTGGCCAGGCAGTGGGAGCATGAGGGAAGGATGTTAGTGAGAAAGTGTGCTGGGGTCTGGGCTGTTTGGCCCTGCCACAGAGGGCAGATGTTTCCCCCATTTCTCTCTGATCTCCAGATGACCTACGTGGACATCACTCAGGGGTAGAGTAAGAAGTGGATCTAAGACTCAGAGGATTTGATGTCAAATTGTGCTGTTCCACAGTTCAGCAAAGGGATAAGGCAGGATTGCAAGGGAGGATCCTGATACTCCCCCTTTGACTATTCCATGTGTGGGGGCTTTCTCCTGAACACCACCCCTGCACTGCAGCTAGCTGGGGCGGGCAGGGGCTGATGCTCAGTAGCCCACAGCTCTCTGGCAGCCAGTTGTGATTGGATTTTCCTGCAGGTTGCTTCTCACTGGCCACTTTGGTACATTTAAGTCTCAATGAGATTTTCCTGTTCTGAATGATTAATCTGGAGCACTTTGTGCTGGATGAGCTGGGAAGGGTTGGACAAGGTTACGCTGGTAGCTCCGAGCCTGCTTCTCACGGGGCCAGCCCTGAGCACATGGCCCCAGTGAGCCCTGCTGCAGCACAGGGCTTGGGGACAGGCTCCAGCAAGGAAAGTCCCCAAATGCCTGTGCATGACCCCAGGACAGCCCTTCCCAATGTCCCAGCCAGCCTGTGCCTCAAGGACAGACCAGATCAATACTTCCCACTTCTAATCCATACAGTCCCAGGAAGAGCTGGGGTCAGAGGAGCAGGGAGATGGCAGCAGCAGCGCAGTTCCTGAGCAGGAGGGATTTATCTTCTGGGGTCTTCATTCCCTTGCATCTCTCTTATCTGTTGTGCTCCCTTCCTGGGTCTCCTCTCACTGTGGGAGCACAGGCAGGGTGTTCCCTCCTTGTGGGATGCTGATGAAATGCTCAGCATCATGTGGAAAACCTTTTCACCACAGCTCAGCCTTGGCTCTTGGCCAAGCTCCATTAAGGGATGACGTGGTTCTGCGGCTGGAGAGGGCAGGCACGGGTGGCCTTGAGGGGAGATTGGGACCCAAAGACAAAGGCACAAATGCCCACAATTCTTCCCAGACTGTGTGGACAGCAAGAGTGGGGCCTGATCAGGCTGGGGTAAGTGAGGATGTTTTGGGAGGCTCATTCATGTTGGTTTGGGTGCCCTGGTTGGTGTCAGAGTTCGTGGTGTTGCCCTTGAGGATGCTGCCTCCAGCCCTAGGAGCACCCTGGACCCCAGCAGAGCTATCTGAATCCACCCTGCCCTATTCCTTGGTTCCTCATGGGTGCACTGATGGAGGCAGCAAAAGCCAACACAGCTTTAAGCAAATCTTGGTGTGATTCCAAGCTGCCTGAAAACCCTCTTTTCTGTCTTTCTCTCCCCTGATGAAGGTGATCACCATTTTCACGCTGGTGGAGGTGGTGCTGACGGCAGATGGTGGCCCCCTCAAATACAGTGCCCTGCTGAAGAGGCCAAGCTTGGACAAGTGAGAGCCCTGGCTGTGTGTGCTCCCCACTGCTGATGCTCCCTCATCTCCCAGGCCCTGCTCCAGCACCTGCTGGAGACAGAAGGGACCCACAAGGACTTCGGGGTTTTGAGTTTTAAAACCATTGTGGTTTTATTTCTGGTTTGGATTTTAACTCCGCCTGGGAGCAGGGCTCAGGGCTTGAGCCTGCCCCAGGCAGAACATTTCTACTCTTGGGTATTTTTAGCATGATGCTTTCTTAATGTTTTTTTAAGGCAGTGGTGTCTATCTGCAGCTTCAGTGCCCGTGGTGAGGGCTGAGAGAGGGGATATGTGTCCCCAGGAGCAGAGAGGGGCTGGCTCCACCATCCCAAGTGGGATGTGGATGTAGTGGGATGCAGCCATGGGGCCATGCAGGAGGGTTTCTTGCAGGGTTGTGTGTCATGTAATAAAAGTCGGTCAGCAGCTGTGGAGCTCGTGCAGGTTTTATTTTGTGCCCTCCATGTTCCCCCAGCTGGGGGATCCCAGCAGTAATTCACCTCTGGGGAGCCTCCTGCCTTCCCCTTCCTGCCACTTCCCAGGCATTATGGAATTTGGCCTCACTGCCTGTCCCAGCCTCACATATGTTTGGCCAAGAGATGGGAGATGAGGGCAGGTGTTCCCAGCTCCTGATCCTGCAGGTATTCCCTCAGTGCCTCTGACTTCACCAGAAGTCCCTGCTCCAGTCCCTCACACCTTGGCCTCCAGCCTAACCTTGCTCAGGGACCCTATGGCACCATGTCCTTGCATCCAGCGCCTCATTGACCAACTGACCTCTGCCATCTCCCGCCACCTCTGCCTGCTCTCTGTCCCCATGTCCCCCACCCACACTGTGAGCATGTGTTGGGGGCTGCTCTGGCAGCCTCCACATCATCACAGGCAGTGGCTGGTGAAGGGATTGACATCTGGCAAGAAGGAATGGATCCATTGTGCCAGGCAAGGGAGGGAGCCCTGCGTCACTCTGCCCCATCAGTGGTGATAGCCATGGCCAGCAGCAGCACATCAGCCATCTGCAGGAGCCAGGAGCTGGCCAAACCTCGACTGCCTGGGTCAGGATGGGCGATCAGGGCTGGACACAGCACATTTCCTGGGAGATGGTGAAGCCATCAATGACAGCTGTAGTTCCCAGGACTTGTGCTCATGCAGCGTCCTTCCAAATGGCCTGGTGCAATCACGGGTGGATGTCACCTGATGCGGGTGACAGGGGGCTGTTCCCTGCCCACAGCAGGTACCCTGCTGTGCAGAGTGCTGGCATGGGCTGCCCCAGGGCATGCAGTGTGTCAGGCACCAGCTGTCCCACGAGCTGATAGGCAGTGTGTGACTGCTGGGAGGGGGGACCAGAGGACACTGACACCAAAGCCAATATGTCCACTCCCTACTCCTCAGCCAGTGTCCCCCTCCTAGGGTTTGTCTCAGGAGAAACCAGGCAAATCCAGCCTGGCCCAGCTCAGCCTGTCTGCAAAAACAGCCCTTTGCCCTGCACTCTCCCTCCCACTCCCCAGGGTCCCACCAGCAGCCACCCCCATGGGAGCTGGGCCCCAGAGGTGCCCTGGTCCTCAGGGACAGGCTGGAGGTCTTTGCTGGTGGGGGGCAGGGATGGCCCCAGGGTGGGGCAAGGGCATTGGGAGGGCCCTGAGAGGGCTGGGAGATAGTCCATGAATGTTATCAGCCCATCGTCTCACGGGACAGGGAAGAGCCATAAAGGGCTGTCCCCTCACCCTGGACGAAGGCAGCATTCCAGGAGGGAGCCGGGGTGGGCAGCATGGGGCAGCTGCTTTTCTCTGGAACCTGCCTTCTCCTCTGCTTCCTCGCCCAGCTCGCCACTGCAGCCTCTGGTGACAGGGAGCATGCTGGACAATGGGGTAAGAACCTCTGGTGGGGGATGCTGGGGCTGGTGTCACTTCCTTGGGGATCTCCAGGGACCATGTCACCTCCCCTTGGGATGCCAGCAAGCGGGAACCCTCACAGCCACCTCAGGGTGCTCTGAGACCACAACCTCTGAATGGGTTGGTCTCACTTCCCCCCAGAGCAGGCCCTGCCCCCACCCCATCCTTGCTGCTCCCAACCCCCATCCCTGACTTTGGATAAAGTGGCCCAACAGCTACAGCTAGCCATGGTTACCCAGCCATTGCACACTCTCTGTGGCTGATCCTCAGGCTCCTCATCCACTCTGCCAAGAGGCACAAGGATTTCCCTGCCAAGCTGTGCCTTAGTTTCCCTTCTGCAGGTAGTTTCTGAGCAATGCTGGTCTGCAAAAGACCATGCTGATCTCCTGGGATGGGGCTTATAGCAGCTACATTCACCTCGGGTAGAGATGGGCATGCTGGACCCCTGGGGGTGCACCTGGAGGCTCCCAGCTTTGCTCTCACCTCCAGATGCTGAGAAGACCCCGGGCTACTGGAATAAAGGTGCCAGGAAGAGGCTGGAATTGGCCCTGGCCTTGCAGCCTGCAGCACAGCGGGCCAAAAACATCATCCTCTTCATGGGTGACGGTGAGTGCCCTGGTCACTGCCAGGCCCTGCAGCTCCCCAACAGCCAGGGGATGTGGCTGAGGAGAAGAAGGGGCTGGGGCAAGCCCTCAGCTAGTGCCAGGGCAGGGCAGGGCTGTCCCTGGTCCTGCCCCCCAGTGACTTGAACATGGCCACAGGCATGGGGCTGTCCACCATGTCAGCAGCTCGGATCTACAAGGGGCAGCTGGCTGGTGGCTCAGGCGAGGAGAGCGTCTTGGCCATGGAGACCTTTCCCCACATGGCCCTGGCCAAGGTGAGTGGGGCAGGGCTGGGGGGGACACTCCTGCTGCCCCTGCTTGAGACCCCACTGCACCCATCTTGCTTCCAGACCTACACCATCGACCGGCAGGTGCCCGACAGCGCTGGCACGGGCACTGCCTACCTCTGTGGGGTGAAGGCCAACGCCAAGACTCTGGGACTGAGCGGGGCAGCCGTCTATGGAAAATGCCACACCACCTTTGGCAATGAGGTGGACTCTGTCCTGCACCGGGCCAGGCTGGCAGGTACGGGGCAGCAGAAAACCCTGTCGGAAAGCCGGGCATGGCCATCCAGTGCTGTGCAGCGCTGGATGGACTCCATGTAAACCCTTGCTCGCGCTGCAGGCAAGTCTGTGGGCATCGTGACGACCACGCGGGTGCAGCACGCGTCCCCGGGGGCAGCCTACGCGCACTCGGCCAGCCGGGGCTGGTACGCTGACGCCAACATGCCCAAGGAGGCCCTGCGGGACGGCTGCAAGGACATCGCCTACCAGCTGGTGCACAACACTGACATCAACGTGAGCTGGGGAGCGGGAGCGGGAGGGAGGGGGCACAGGAGCACTGGGAGGGTCTGCTGAGCTCCCCGGCAGGTGATCCTGGGCGGCGGGAGGATGTACATGACCCCCAAGCAGACTCCGGACCCCGAGTATCCAGAGGACCCGGATCAAAATGGCACCAGGAAGGACGGCCGGGACTTGATTGCTGAGTGGCTGAGTGCCAAGCAGGTAGTGTGTGGGGGAAGAGAAAATGGAACCCCGGGCACAGGGTGTGTGTCATTGGCACTGGTTGTGCTCTCGCTGGCAGGGTGCCCGCTATGTCTGGGACAAGAAGGGCCTGGATGCGGTCAGAGATGACTCCGTGAGCCACCTTATGGGTAGGAGCATCACTGCCTGCACCAATGGCAATGCTTTCTCCTCCCCTTTCTGGAGGTGTTGTCAGGGCACAAAGCAGCCCCGGCATGGACCCCTTCACCCTCCTCCCCCAGGTCTTTTCGAGCCCAAGGACATGAAGTACGAGCTGAACCGCAACACATCCACAGACCCCTCCATCGTGGAGATGACGGAAAAGGCCATCCGCATCCTGCGCAGGAACCCCAATGGCTTCTTCCTCTTTGTGGAAGATGAGTAGCTCCAGGCGGGCAGTGTGGCCGGGGCTGAGGTGGGATGTAGGTCCTGGGAGCATGTAGCCATCCAAGGGGACCAGGGAGAGGGTGACAGCCACATTCCCCGTGCAGGTGGCAGAATCGACCACGGCCACCACAGCGGCCGGGCCAAGCAGGCGCTGATGGAGGCCGTGATGCTGGACCGGGCGGTGGCACGGGCAGGAGAGCTCACCTCCCCTGCTGACACCCTGACCGTGGTGACGGCTGATCACTCCCATGTCTTCACTTTTGGGGGCAGCACACCACGTGGCAACTCCATCTTTGGTGGGTCCTGGAGAGGGGCCATGAGCATCCCTCTTTCCACCTCACCCTGTTGCTTCCACGGGAGGCTGAGGTTGCCCAGGGAGGGAGCTGGGGAGGGGTACCGAGCTGGGACAGGGGGTGACAATGTCTTTCCCTGTGCCAGGGCTGGCCCCCAAGAAAGCCAAGGACAAGCGAGCCTACACCAGTATCCTCTATGGCAATGGTCCTGGCTACAGCATCCGTGATGGGGCCCGGCCAGCTGCCAGCCTCCCTGTTGCAGGTACTGGTCTGCTGGGGATGTGGCAGAGCCATGCGGTGGCTGGGGACAGATTACCAATGAGTCTGCAGGGATTGGTGGGAGACACAGGGTGGCTGGGGGCAGCATCCCACAGCCTGAGACTAACAGCGGCACCAGGACCCTGTGTGACATCACACAGCGTCCCGGTGCCGCTGTAAGGCTCAGCAGTCGACACCCTCAGCCCCCTCATACACCCTGTTCCCTCACACCCATTGCACACCCACCCTCAGTCGCACCCCCCGACACCCCACTGCAGAAATCACGCTGAAGCAGGAGTGATGGGAGCTGTCCCCCCAGCCCTGTGCCATGTCAGTGAGCCAGGCCCCAGCCTCATTTCTCCTCTCCTCCTGCAGAGGACAAGGACTACAGACAGCAGGCAGCTGTGCCCCTGGAGACAGAGACTCACAGTGGGGAAGACGTGGTGGTGCTGGCCCAGGGCCCCATGGCCCAGCTCTTCCACGGGGTGCAGGAGCAGCACTACATCGCCCACGCCATGGCCTACGCTGCCTGCCTCGAGCCCTACGCCGCAGAGCCTGGGTGCAGGGCAGCCCGCAGGGCCTCCCATGGCACACGGTGCTGCCCACAGGCCCTGCTCGTCCTCCTGGCCCTCTGCATGGCTGCCCTCACTGTGAGGGGCTGACAGGCTCTGGCTGAGTCCCGCTGTGGGCAGGACCAAGGCATGCAATAAACACAGCTTGTTTGTCTCTATCCGCCCTGCAAAGGTTCACAGTGGCTGTCACCTCCTGAGGTGCCCTGTGCCTGCCTCCCCAGCTGGCTGTGCCTCCTGGTTCTCCCTGGGACCCGCACTGCAGGCACTGGGCTGCAGGAGATGAGGAAATGCGGGTGAGGGGAGGCAATGTCCTCCCCAGCTTTGCCTGGTTGGAGCACAGTACACAAGGGTTGGTCCATTCCTATCAAGGGCTGAGATAGGAGCAGAGTTTTAGTCCACATCCATGGATTTATTGCTCATGAAAGGCTGGGAAGAGAGCAAGGTGCTCGGTGCACGGGTGACCCCGGGTGCTCCCCATACCCACCATTATCCAATGCTCAGAGCTCCCATGCCAGCCTGGGACAGGGCATTGCCCTGCCTGGCTCCACGGCACCATGGCCAAGGCAGGAGCTGCTGCCAGGACTGCACTTCCTCTTGTTCCTGCATCTGTCTGTGCCCCAAGCCCATCTGTGCCCAGCAGGCACAGGGCGTTGTGCCAAAGAGGTGACACCAGCCCAGGCCGCGGCCTTTGCTCTCAGCAGAGATGTGGTGACACACACCTCCACACACCCTGCTAGGGCTGATCCCTGTCCAAAGTCCCTCCCACATCTGCTGGATTTACAGACACTGCCAGCAGCGTTGGCCTGTCAGACCTCAGCATGCAGCTCCTGGCATCCCTCACCCTCTGCCTCTGCGCAGGGCTCAGCACCGCTGTCATTCCAGGTGGGGACAGGGACGGGGCTGGGTGCCTGGCTGGCTGCGGTGGGTGCCCAGGGAAGCAGGGTGTCAGCCTGCCTGGCCACGAGGGCTGGGGAGGGGAGCTGGGGCTGCCCAGCTGAACAACAATTAACAGGGCTTAGTTACCTCCGCCCTTCTCTGGCTTTTGAACCAGTATTCCCCCAGGTTCTTGCTTGCTTCTGAGCTGGGGGCTGGTCTGGGAGAAGCGCCTGTATCCTCTGTCACCGCTCCCTGCCATGGATCTGGCTCTATCCCACTCACCAGATAACTCCCCATCATGTCTGGTTTTGCTATCCCCCCTTGTTCCCTGCCCCAGGGCCCTGGGGCCAGGCAGCCAGTGCGAGTCTGCATGGTCTCTCCCCAGCCCCAATTGCTCCCAAACCACCTGGTCCATGTGAGAGGAGGTTCCAGCATGGGAGTGTGCAGGGAACAAGTACCCCTGGGGTCTGGGTACCCCTCAGGGCTGCCCCAGGGATGCAGGCACTGGTGATCTGGGACTGATGGTGTTTGCACTGTCCCAGCGGAGGAGGAGAATCCATCCTTCTGGTACAAGCAAGCAGCTGCAGCCATCGATGCCTCCTTCAAAATCCAGCCCAGGATAAATGAAGCCAAAAACCTCATCATTTTCCTTGGGGACGGTGAGTCCAGCTGGCACCCAGCAAGCAGGCTGACAAGGCCAGTACACTGCTGAGTGGGATGTGTGCAGGGTACCTGGTCCAGAGGGTGACCAGGACCCTCTCTCTGTCCAGGATTCGGGGTCCCCACCATCACAGCCACCCGCATCCTCAAGGCACAGCAGAAGGGGAAGCTCGGGCCTGAGACCCCCCTTGCCCTGGATGCTTTCCCCTACATGGCTCTGTCTAAGGTAAATTCCAGCCTGCTGGAATGGGGCCATGGTGATCCTGGGCATGGGGCCATGGTTATACTATATCTGCAGCCCTGGCAGCCCAGGGCAGCACACATGTTGTGCATGGGTCGCTCCCCATCCCACATGTGTTCATGGGTGAATGATTGAGCGTGGTAGGTGCTGCTGGGGGCACACCCCACTGGGGACCCCTGCCCTGAGTCCTTCTATCCCTGGCAGACCTACAATGTGGACAGACATGTCCCTGACAGCGCGGGGACAGGCACAGCCTATCTCTGTGGCGTGAAGGGTGGTACCTGGTCCAGAGGGTGACCAGGATCCTCTCTCTGCCCAGGTTTTGGGATCCCCACCATCACAGCCACCCGCATCCTCAAGGCACAGCAGAAGGGGAAGCTCGGGCCTGAGACCCCTCTTGCCCTGGATGCTTTTCCTTATGTGGCTCTGTCTAAGGTAAATTCCGTAGCCTGCTGGAATGGGGCCATGGTGATCCTGGGCATGGGGCAATGGTTTTCTCAGGCACAGGGCTTCTGGCAGCCCAGGGCTGCACACATGTTGTGCATGGGTCACTCCCCATCCCACATGTGTTCATGGGAGAGTGAAGGAGCATGGCACGGGAAGCTAGGGGCACACCCCACTGGGGACCCCTGCCCTGAGTCCTTCTATCCCTGGCAGACCTACAATGTGGACAGGCAAGTCCCTGACAGTGCAGGGACAGCCACAGCCTATCTCTGTGGCGTGAAGGGCAACTACAAGACCATAGGGGTGAGCGCGGCCGCCCGCCACTCAGAGTGCAGCACCACGGCCGGCAACGAGGTGATCTCAGTGATGAAGCGAGCCCGCAAAGCTGGTAACGGGGGATGCAGGGCGGGGGGCACTCTGTGGGGACAAGGGGTGCCACACTGGGACTTCACCCCCATGAGCATCCCATAGCTTGGTGGCGGGGACGCTGCGTTGCCCTTGGTGGGGCCTGATGAGCAGGGTTTGGCAGGGAAGGCAGTGGGCGTCGTGACCACGACGCGGGTGCAGCACGCGTCGCCCGCGGGAACCTATGCCCATGTGGTGAACCGGGACTGGTACGCGGACTCCAGCATGCCCCAGGAGGCGCGGCTGCAGGGCTGCAAGGACATCGCCTGGCAGCTGGTCCACAACGTCGACATCAACGTGAGCGCCGCGCTCGGGAGGAGGAGAGCAGGGACAGACCCCTCTCAGGGCACCCCCACTAACTCTTCGTCCGCCCCATCCCCTCCAGGTGATCCTGGGTGGTGGTCGGAAATACATGACCCCCGTGGGGACGCCGGACCCTGAGTACCCTGCCAACAGCAGGCAGAATGGGATACGTGAGGATGGGATAAACCTCATCGACAAGTGGCTGGAGGCACGGCCGGTGTGTGACGCATCAGGGATGCACCTCTGCCCACTGCCCCTGGCACAGGGGCAGACACCCACTAACCCCCTGGGGGATTTGCCCACAGGGTGCCCGCTATGTCTGGAACAGGACAGAGATGCTGGCTGCTGCCGCCGACCCCAATGTGAATTATTTGATGGGTAACAAATGACCCCTGTGCCAGGACCCAACAGGCGCTGGGACACTCAGCCACTCATGTTGTCCCCAACACATTCCCTCTCAGGTCTCTTTGAACCTGTGGACACGAAGTACAACCTGGTGCGTAACACCACCCTGGACCCGTCACTCACTGAGATGACAGAGGCGGCCATCACCATCCTGAGCAGGAACCCCAAAGGCTTCTACCTCTTTGTGGAAGATAAGTTGGGGCTCATGCCCCTGAGGCCAGTGACAGGGGGCTGTAGGGTGGGGGTAGGAGGTGTGTGTGCTGCTGTTGGCCCCGAGCCCACCGTGGGTGCCCATCTGCAGGTGGCAGAATTGACCATGGCCACCACGATGGCGCAGCCCATAAGGCTCTGACTGAGGCGGTGGAGTTTGACACGGCCATCGAGCGGGCTGGCACCATGACAGACGAGGCTGAGACCCTCACCGTCATCACCGCTGACCACTCACACGTCTTCTCCTTCGGGGGCTACACCCTGCGTGGCTCCTCCATCTTCGGTGGGGCTCTGCCCTGTCCTGGGTACTGCCAGCCCTGTGGCACCCTGACTGTGGCCAGAGGGTTGATACGGATGTTCCTTGGCTGATCCTCCTCATCCTCTTCCATTGCCCCTTCCCCAGCTCTGGGCCAAAAGAAAACCACTGACGGGAAGAACTACACTTCAATCCTCTACGGGAATGGGCCAGGATATCCACATGGTGAACGGCCCAACGTGGACCCAGAAACAGCCAGTGAGGACACAGAGACCATGGCTTGGGTGGTGGGGTGGGGCTGGGGGGTGTCATTGCCTCCCTTCACCTCCTTCTTTCCCCTACAATACAGTGCAGTTTGATTACCAGCCACAGGCAGCTGTGCCACTGGAGTCGGAGACCCATGGCGGTGAAGACGTGGCCATCCTGGCCAAGGGCCCCATGGCCCACCTCTTCCACGGGGTGCAGGAGCAGACCTATGTAGCCCATGCCATGGCCTACGCCGCCTGCATCGAGCCCTACACCGACTGCCGCCAGCGGAACTCTGGCCCTGGCACCCGCGCCACCCCCCTGGCCCTGCTCCTGCCTGCCCTCCTCCTGCCCCTCTTCCGCTGATCCCCTGTCCCTAGGGCACCCCACGGGACAGACTCACGTTCCCTCCCTCCCTCCCCACCGTGTGGCACCTGCAGGCAGCTTTCTGAAGCATCTGGATGGGCTGCTGCATCCAGACCAGCATCCCTGGTCTGGATGCAGCAGCCCTGGGAACACCGAATCCATGGCAGTGGGGGGCAGTGGGGGGTTAAATAAACACACAGTGTGACACTGCTGGGACAGGCGTGCTCGTGGAGTGGGGGTGCCTGTGCCATGTGGCCAGGGCTGGGGGTGCTGCCCACTGCTCCCATCCCCTGGCCATGGCCCCTGTCAGCCACCCAGCACATCCAGTGCTTTATTGACCAGAAACAGCAGCGGAAGATACAGCAGCGTCCGTGTGCCTGCCCTGCCAGGCAGGCTGGCATCACCCAGCCCGGCTGCACCGCTGTGCCCCACCTCAGCAGGGCTGGTGCATGGACAGGAGGGGCTGGCATGGGGAATGGCAGGGAGGGCACCGTGCAGGGGAGGCTTCTGGCATGGGGCAGCCCCTTGGAGCCACTGGAGTCCTCCCCCTGCCTTTACTTACTGGGATGGATGTGGTAGGGCTGGATGAAGGGTTTGGGCTGGGTGGACAGAAAAGGGGGTACAGGGGTGCCTGGGCATGCCCTTGTTCCTCCATGGGGAATGACAATGCCTCACTGCACAGGGCAGTGGATGGGAGGGGCATGGGCAGGAGGCATCTGCGCAACTCAAGTGTTTCTGCTGCCTACACCCTTGTAGATGGGAAGGAGATGGGAAGTTGGGGAGTGGACAAAAAGCGTCATTTAGGCAAGGGAGGGGATGGAGGGTCCCAGCCTGCTGGAGGGGGATCAGCCTCACCACACCGAGCACTTGTGCACTGGGTTCATGGGCGAGTTCTTGGGGCAGTGGAAGACCCGTCCAAACTCCTCAAACTGCGAGACACTGCCCAGGACCCTGCCGGGAGAGGGGAGGACCTCAGAGCTCTGTACCCCCTGCCCTCTGCACTGCTGCCTCACACCCCACTCATAGCATGTGCTCACCCCAGCAGAACCCCATCCCTGCCCCATGCATATCACCCAAAATCTGCTGGCACCAGCACTCCAGAGGGTGCTCCTCCCACTTTGCACAGCACTGACACCTGTGGGGAAGGCTGGCACCCACCATGCCCCCAGCCCCCCCATTTTGGGAGCACACAGTACCTGTAGTGCTCCGGAGCATGCTTGTCTGTCAGCACCTGCAGGTAGATGGACTGGGATCTCCGCTTGATGCACCAATTCTGCAGGGGAAAAAGGCTCCATGGACAAGCCACACAGGGCACCCTGGGTCTTGGCAACCACCAGGACACCATGGCCCTTCTGGCTGCTAGGGATTGAGGGCAGTGATGCCCTGATTGAATTTGTTATTGTACAGTCTCCCAGGAGCCCGTGTACACAGTCTAAGTGGGCTGGGAGAGCGTGGAATCATGTTTGCTATTGTAGGATCTCCAGGGTTGACTGAAAGCTGCCTGGCTGCAGGGTTTCCTAGAATTTTGAGATCAAATGTGTTTGTCATTCTGGAGCCTCTGGAGGACACATTAATTTATTATTGTAGGGTCCACAGGAACAACAGGACAGTGTGGGGTGCTCATTTAGGGCTCTGTACCCTGAGCCCAGGACCTGCTGATGCAGCCAAGCCCAGCTCCTGGCCATTGGCCCTGGGTCTCCCAAGGCCCTCTCCCCACCCCTTTGGGCTGCTGGCCCCACACAAGGTGACCCTCCTGCCCCAACAGCTGTTACTTGTGAGGAGCACAGGGGCTCACCTGGGCAAAGGCGATGAAGAAGAGCTGGTCGTGTGTGTATTTCATGTGGTGCAGGGGGTGCTCGGGGCCGTGCTCCCTCACCCACTTCTGGTAGGCCTGGAGAACAAGGCGTGCCCTCAGCATGGCCTGGGTACTCCCCCAAACCCACCCTGGACCCACCCCCAAGGCCCCAGCCACCAGCAATCAGGATTGTGCTCACCCCTGGCTGCAGGGAGTGAGGAGGGCTTGGGGCGTCTCCTCCCACTCAACAGGGAAGGCACAAGCAGCTGCCCATGGCTGTGACACCCAGGGTGGGGGGACACTTACGTAGTAGGCCAGTTTGAGCCCCCCCATGTCAGCGAAGAGAGCTCCCAGAGCCATGCCAAAGTGCTTGTTGGCCTGGCTCAGGCAGATCTTACCCGGCTCCAGCTGCTTCTCGTTGCCCTCCATCTCCTTGGAGAGCTCGTGGATGGCGTCGCGGAAGGGCGTGGAGAGGTGCTCGCTCAGCACCACCACGATGCGCCACAGCATGTAGTTGTGAAGGATCCTGTGACAGGGACGGGAGCAGCCCTCAGCATGTCCCCAGGCACAGGGGAGGGTGGCAGCATGTGCCAGGATGGGGACACTCTGCTCAGGGACACCCCTGCTCAGGGACACAGGGGGCCATGGCTGGTGGGGGCACAGGGACATTCTGGCACCGTGTCCCTCCCTGATGTGCGATGAGTCTGGTGACCTCTGGCAGGAGTGGCTCAGCAGGTGTCCAGGCACGACCGGGGTGCCGGGGGGCCACACAACAGTGGCCTTTTCCCACAAGCCTCCCCTGATTTTCTGTGCCCAGCCCGGCCTTCCCCCACCAGGAGGAGGGTGATGCTGGGAGGTTCCAGGCACAGCTGTCCTGTGCCCCCTGCCAGGCTGGGAAAGGTGCCAGGGGCACAGGGGTGCCAGCCCCCCTCACCTGCTGGGTGTCACACGGATGAGGTTGGACACCTTGTGCATGTAGTCGGTGGCCAGCAGCACCACCTCCTCCTCCTCCGAGAAGTTGTCATGGAAGATGCGGTCCAGCAAGCGCTTCCACTTGAGCTGCCAGGGCAGGCACTGTCAGGGGGCATGGGGACCCCAACTCCATGCCACCCTGGAGGGGACACCTCCAGGCTTTCCAATCTCCCACCAGAGGAGTGCGTTATCCTCAACTGGATTTAACTGGGACAGGTGGTGAGCATTGAGGGCATGGAGCAGGGGGACAGGGACAAGTGTGGGGCACAGGCAGATGGGGGACAGGCTGACAGGCTGGCACCAGGGGTACTCACCGTGGGAGTGATGCTCTGCAGCTCGGCCAGGGTCACTTTGTGGTACATGCTGCCAACATCCCTGCGCACGTCGTCGTACTCGGACACTGTGATCTGCACAGGGTGGCATGGCTGTCACCATCCCACTGCCCACCTTGAGGGTGACACAGGGATAGTACACTGGGATGGGGCATGTGACTGGGCAACAGGGCAGCTCTAATGTGGGTACTGACCCACATCTTTCCCACTCCCTGCCCCAGGAACCCTCTGCTGCCGGTGGGACGCTGAGGGCTGTCAGAAGGTCCCAAGGAACTGGGTTCTCTGAGGAATGGGAACACATGTCCCTCCAAGGTCCAGACTAAGGTCCCCAAGACCTGTATATGGAGTCTACAAGGGCCCAGAGTGGCCTCACAAGGACTAGATGTGGGACTGGAGTGGTTGCCCCAAGGGCTGGGACTGGGGGTTCTCAGGGTGTGGGACTGGGTGCCTGAAGCTCTGCTGTGAGGTCCTCAAGAGGTTGAGATCCCCATATTCTAGGTCTGAAGGTCCCCAAGGGCTGGGAGTGGAAGTCCCCATGGAGGGATTGGAATGAGATTGCTCAGAAGCAGATATGGATGTCCCCAAAAATCTGTGGCTGGGATGTCCAAGGCTGGATAAGTGCACCCCAAGGTTCGTGGCATGTATCCCTCTCACATTGGCAAGGTGCTGCTCCAGCTGCAGGATCTCCTGGGCTTTCTGCTCCACGTGCTCAGCCCCCAGGAGGGTGAGCAGTCGCTCCATGAACACTCGGTATGCAGCCAGGATCTGTTCAGAGAGAAAGGAGGGGGACACTTACGTAGTAGGCCAGTTTGAGCCCCCCCATGTCAGCGATGTTCTCCCCCAGTGTGTGTTTGCCATTCACCTGCCAAGAGAGGAGAAATGACAGAGGTGTCCCCATCCCCATGCTGGCACCGAGGCTGCAGCCAATGCCCTGAGGAATTTCCAAGCTAAGGTGTGATGAATTGTTGGTCTCAGGGCTGGACAGGGCAGAGTCAGTTCTGCAGGCACCCAGCCCTAAGCGATGGGGCAGCAGGGACCCCACGGTGGGGCAGCTGTGCTGGGTGAGAAGGAGTCTCACCCTCTGGTTGTAGACAGTGAAGTTGTCGTAGAGGTTGACGATGCACTGCGCCTTCTTCAGGAACTTGCTGTACGACCGCTCCGTCCACCAGTGCACCAGGTTCCCGTGCCGGTCGTACTGTCCCCCTGCCAAGGCAACCGCCACCTCCAGGAGTCCCAAGGGACCCAGGTGTCCTGCCTGGCTGCCTCAGCCCATCCTCACATCCGGGCAGGATATAGGGAGGACACTCACCCCAGTCATCGTAGCCATGGGTCAGCTCATGCCCAATGATGGTGCCAATCCCACCATAGTTCAGCGACCTGTTTGGGTGGGGAACAGAGGTGCGAGGGTGGAGAGCACGGTGCTGGCAGGGATGGGGGTGACCCCATGACATGGCAACCCCCCAGCCATCCCCCAGCCCCACACTCACTGCGGGAACTCGGGGTCGTAGAGTGTGGGCTGCAGTATGCCAGCAGGGAACACTGAGGACACAGGAGAACATTGTTGGGTGTCACCCTGCCCTGTACCCACCCACAGCATCACCCAGCACCACGGGACCCTGGGCCTTGCTCCCATCCCACTCCAGGGGCGGATCGGGGGCGGGCAGTGCTTACCCATCTGGTTCTTGTTGGGCAGGTAGTAGGCGTTCAGTGCCTGGGGAGGCAGCAGCCACCTGCAAGGAGAGACAGCAGTGCTGGGCTGCACAACACCGAGGGACATGGAAGTGCCATCCCTCTGCACAGCTGGGGAACAGGGGGGGCACTCCTGGCATCCTTGTGCCCTTCTGCCTACAGCCTGTAGGCTGCATCTGGGCATGGGGACAGGGGACACTGGTGGCACCATGCTGGGCCCCTCCATGTCCCCCCAGGGCAAGGGAATACCCACGTGGATTTATCCACCTCCTGCCGGATCTTCTTCACCGAGAGCCTGATGCCAAAGGCAATGCTGTTGAGGATGTTCTTGAAGTAGGTCTTCTCATCCACCTCAAACTGGGGGGCACAGCTACATCAGAGGAGATGCCAGCCCCAAGAGTGCAGAGGGCAGGCCTGTGGTGTCCTCCCACCCCTGTGAGCCTTGGTGACTGTGGATGTGTCACAAGTGTGTTCTCATGTCCCATGCTGTGTGTCCATAGGGGCAGCTGCTTCTCTGTCAGCTCCACGAGTCCCTGGACCACACCAGCATCCTCAGTCCTTGCCAAGGATGAGGCTGAGCTCTTGGAGCTGCAGTGTGGGGAAGGAGACACAATCCCAGACCCCAGGGACTGTATGGCACTGCTGGTGTGGGGCACCCTGCCAGCAGTGAGCACTGTGAGCACCAGGAGGGGGCTTGTTGTCTTGCATCACAGAGCCTGATGCAAATGTGGGGAACACCTTTCCCCACTATGTGCCCATGTCCTCACATGCTCCCGGGCTATCCCTTGCCTCATATTCCTTGTCAATGGCCTCTGGCTTCAGCAGGAAGTCGGGGTACCCAATCATCACCATCATGTACCGGAGCTGTGGGCAAAATCAGTGGTGGGTTCAGGCCCCTATCCCATGTGCCTCTGCACTGGTGATGGGGCCAAAGACAGGAGTGCATGCTAGGGACCACTACCTTGGCCCTAGCTGCTCTCCGTGTCTCCTCATCCATCCAGTCCAGCTCATCAAGGCGCTGGTCGAGGATGTATTTGATGTCCTCCACCAGCTGCTGCACCTATGGTGGGTCACCATGGTGCTGGCATGGCATCTCCACCATCCATCACCAGCCAGACAGCCCTTGGTGGGGGCAGTAGGCACTTTGGCAAGGTGATGGGAGATTGTGGTAGCTTCCTGCCCACAGGCAGCATCACCTACCTTGGCTTTGCTGGCAGAGGAGAAGTGTTCCTCAACGAAGAGAGCTCCCAGGGCCATGCCAAAGTGCTTGTTGGCCTGGCTCAGGCAGATCTTACCCGGCTCCAGCTGCTTCTCGTTGCCCTCCATCTCCTTGGAGAGCTCGTGGATGGCGTCGCGGAAGGGCGTGGAGAGGTGCTCGCTCAGCACCACCACGATGCGCCACAGCATGTAGTTGTGAAGGATCCTGTGACAGGGACGGGAGCAGCCCTCAGCATGTCCCCAGGCACAGGGGAGGGTGGCAGCATGTGCCAGGATGGGGACACTCTGCTCAGGGACACCCCTGCTCAGGGACACAGGGGGCCATGGCTGGTGGGGGCACAGGGACATTCTGGCACCGTGTCCCTCCCTGATGTGCGATGAGTCTGGTGACCTCTGGCAGGAGTGGCTCAGCAGGTGTCCAGGCACGACCGGGGTGCCGGGGGGCCACACAACAGTGGCCTTTTCCCACAAGCCTCCCCTGATTTTCTGTGCCCAGCCCGGCCTTCCCCCACCAGGAGGAGGGTGATGCTGGGAGGTTCCAGGCACAGCTGTCCTGTGCCCCCTGCCAGGCTGGGAAAGGTGCCAGGGGCACAGGGGTGCCAGCCCCCCTCACCTGCTGGGTGTCACACGGATGAGGTTGGACACCTTGTGCATGTAGTCGGTGGCCAGCAGCACCACCTCCTCCTCCTCCGAGAAGTTGTCATGGAAGATGCGGTCCAGCAAGCGCTTCCACTTGAGCTGCCAGGGCAGGCACTGTCAGGGGGCATGGGGACCCCAACTCCATGCCACCCTGGAGGGGACACCTCCAGGCTTTCCAGTCTCCCACCAGGCAGCAGGGAAGGGTTGCTCAGGGCCACCCCCCACTGTCCCCTGGCACCCCAGCCCCTGGCACTGCTGGCAGTGGGTGCCCTCTCTCTGCCAGCCATGCTGCCTGCCGGTCCCTCTCCTGGTGTCCCCACGGCATCGTTGTGCCCCCTCACCTTCTCGCTCTCCTCATCCTGCCCCAGGTAGAGGGTCCGTTCGGGCAGGGTCAGCCCGTCCTGGTCGATCTGGGCAAGAGACGGGCACTGGGTGAGCAGAGGGAGGGCGCTGTGCTGAGCCCGCCACCCCTCGCCTTTCCGGGCCGCAGAGTGGCCCTGGTGTCCCTGGTGTCCCTGGAGCCGAAGGATGGCAGTGTGCTGGAGCAGCCCCAGGAACGGGCACGTCGCTGCCTCAGTTTCCCTCCTGCTAGAGGCTGCTGCAGCTGCAGCAGGCAGCATGCAACAGGCTGGGAGTGCTGGGCAGAGAGCAGGCCCCTGCTCCATGGCCTGACTGGCACACAGGCTGCCTCACAGCCTGCCCTGTGCTGCCACCACTCTCTGCCCCGTCCCTGCTCCCTGGTGTCCCCCACCTGCCCCATGGCCAGCCCCACTGCAGTGCTGCAGCCTGCATGGCGAGCTGCATGGACACCCTCGCTCTTCACACTCAGCCCTGCTGGGCTGTAACCACAGGCACAGCCTCCGAGCCATGCACACACCTGAGCACCCTGCACGTACGTGCACACTCACACTCACACACAAGCACACAGGGAACTCGCCCCTCTGGACACACAGCCATGGATGCTCACATCCCTACACGGGCACCAGCCATTTTATGGGAGATTGTGGTAGCTTCCTGCCCACAGGCAGCATCACCTACCTTGGCTTTGCTGGCAGAGGAGAAGTGTTCCTCAACGAAGAGAGCTCCCAGGGCCATGCCAAAGTGCTTGTTGGCCTGGCTCAGGCAGATCTTACCCGGCTCCAGCTGCTTCTCGTTGCCCTCCATCTCCTTGGAGAGCTCGTGGATGGCGTCGCGGAAGGGCGTGGAGAGGTGCTCGCTCAGCACCACCACGATGCGCCACAGCATGTAGTTGTGAAGGATCCTGTGACAGGGACGGGAGCAGCCCTCAGCATGTCCCCAGGCACAGGGGAGGGTGGCAGCATGTGCCAGGATGGGGACACTCTGCTCAGGGACACCCCTGCTCAGGGACACAGGGGGCCATGGCTGGTGGGGGCACAGGGACATTCTGGCACCGTGTCCCTCCCTGATGTGCGATGAGTCTGGTGACCTCTGGCAGGAGTGGCTCAGCAGGTGTCCAGGCACGACCGGGGTGCCGGGGGGCCACACAACAGTGGCCTTTTCCCACAAGCCTCCCCTGATTTTCTGTGCCCAGCCCGGCCTTCCCCCACCAGGAGGAGGGTGATGCTGGGAGGTTCCAGGCACAGCTGTCCTGTGCCCCCTGCCAGGCTGGGAAAGGTGCCAGGGGCACAGGGGTGCCAGCCCCCCTCACCTGCTGGGTGTCACACGGATGAGGTTGGACACCTTGTGCATGTAGTCGGTGGCCAGCAGCACCACCTCCTCCTCCTCCGAGAAGTTGTCATGGAAGATGCGGTCCAGCAAGCGCTTCCACTTGAGCTGCCAGGGCAGGCACTGTCAGGGGGCATGGGGACCCCAACTCCATGCCACCACACCCCCAGCCCCCTCATACACCCTGTCCACTCACACCCCTCGCACACCCACCCCAAATCACACCCCCCCGATACCCCAAGCCCTGACCCTTAGCCCTGGCTGTGACACCCATCTCCCCCCCACGCCCACGGTGTCCCTCCCCGCGCACTCCCGGTCCCCGCTCAGCCCGCCCACCCTTTCCCTGTGGCAGACGCTCCCTCTAGTGTTACACACGCACGGCCCGGAGCCGGCAGCGAGCCGCCCCGGCCCTGCACACCCACTCACACTCACATCCCACTGCCCCATCACCTCACAGGGAACCGGGCCGCTCGTCTCCTCCACTGTGTCCCCCCACTGCCCTCGCCATCACCACCACCTCGTCCCCACCACGCCACCGCCATGCGCACCCGTGCCCTTCTTTTCCCTGCTATTCCCACCTCCGTGCCCATCACTGAGCCCACCACGGTATCCCCGCTGTGCCATTGCTGTGCTCCCACCATGCCCACCACTGCGCCCCCACACCCACCAAGAGACTTGGCCAGCCAGGTAAAGCCCACCTTTACTCTGGTGGCACCTCAGGGTGACTGACATGGTCTGGCAGGGGTGGGAAAGACTGAGAAAGCCATGGGAAAATGCCCTGACACACTACTGGGGGCTTGGTGGGCATCTCCCTGCCTCTGCCTGGGGCTTGCCCCCTGTGTGCAGGTGGCAGCCACAGTGCCAAGGTGAGTTGCTTTGCTACCAGCACTCTGGAGACCCTGGTGCCCTGCTGGGCTGTCCTCAGCAGCCAGGCAGGTGGCACTGCCTCACTCGGTGCATCTCTCTGCCCGTGTCCCCAGCCCTGTCCTGGAGGTGCCACTCTCAGCCCAGGGTAGCCTGACACAGGGGTCCCATGCTGGAAAGACAGGAGGGTCCCCAAGGACAGGAGGGGTCCCCAGCCCAGCCATCTGCTATAGCCAAGCCCAGACACTGCGCAGGCACTCAGTCCTCTGCAACAAGGACAGTGACATCAGGCAGGTGTCAGTGGCCCTGCTGGGTGGCTGGGGCAGGGGCAGCCACAGGGGCACGGTGCCCTCACCCGGATGACGTAGCGGGAAGTGTTCCTCTCGTCCAGGCTGACGGTGAGGGAGAAGAGCACGGCAGCACTGTAGACGCCCTGTGTCTTGTAGAGCAGCTCGTTGATGTCCCTGCGGTCCGGAGGGGCATCCCAGCCACCGCACTCCCCGATGACCTCCAGCATGGGCCGGGGGCCAAGCCGATCGATCTCAGCCCGGTCCAGGCACGAGCGGAAAAACTCCTTGACCTTCCTCTCTGCCGAGGCGCGGGCTCGGCGCCGCACGGGGCGGCTCAGCAGCGCCCGCAGCTTGGCCTCGTTCTGCTCGGCGATGGCCCCGATGGTGCCGTACACCAGCTTGTCCTCAGGGATGCCGTGTCGCCGGAGCCAGCCGCCACAGGCGAAGGAGTAGAAGTCCTGGCAAGGGTCGATGGTAGCATCCATGTTGGCACTTAGGAAGCGGGATGCCCGCAGGAAGGCCTTTTTCTCCTGGCACCCCTCCAGGCAGTAGCTGTCCCCTTCGGTCGCCAGGTACTTGAGGACCAACATGCACGTCAAGATGACGCAGAGCCCCGCAGCAAAGACCAGCCCTGAGAGCAGACAGACCTCCCGGCGGCTCCAGCGTGGCAGCCCCCCACGGCGCTTCTTGGCCCCCGCGCCCAGCTGGAGGGCGAAGCCGTTGGGCAGCGTCCCGCTCTGGTACTTGCTCACGTACTTCACCTCCTGAAACTCATCATAGTGGGCTGTCAACGAGTAGGTCTTCTCCATGGCCGGGGATGGGGCTCCCTGCCAGCAGCACTGGTGCAGGGGCCTCAGGGCAGGTGGAGCGCAGGCTCAGGCAGCCCACAGTTCATGCCGGAGCCGTGCCTGCCACAGGGAAGTGCTGATGTCCGGGTGAGTAAGGAAGCTCCTGGAAAAGGCAGAGATGGATAAGGGGGGGTTGGGAGGAGCAAGGGCGGAGGGGTTGCTTCTTGTCCTCATTGCTGCCTCTATATCCGTCCCCATGTGTGCCCCACTGCTGGCACTGAGATTGTCCATAGTGCCAGGAGCTTGGTGGCACCTCTACCCCATGGCTGTCCCCTCTGCCAGTTCCTTTGGTGACAGGACACCTGCATGATGGCAGGTTTCAGTCACTGGCACAGCTAATCTCACACCCCCACACCCACACAGCACTCCAGCCAGAGCACCCATGCTGGGGGGATGTCCAACGTGTTCCAGTGAACCCAAACTCAGCTCCATGAGAACCCTTCCCAGCCAGGGGGAGCACAGGGCTGCCAGTCTCTCTGGGTGAGGTATAGATGGGGTGAGCAGCTTGGGAAAGAGGGGTTTTGGGGAGATTTGTGAGGGGAGCCGTGGGGCTGGGGTGCCGTGGGCTGGGTCAGGTTGTGTGGCCCCACGCTGGGTTGCACGGGTGGTGCTGCATCGTGGCTGGCAGTGTTGCATTGTGCTGTGTGGGGTGGTGGTGCACTGTGTTGCGTTGCATTGTGTCAAATTGTGGCGTGGTGCGTGATGTGTGAACAAAGTTAATTCCCGTCTGGGGGGAACCCTACACCCCGTGGACACATTACAGCATTCCCCAACAATCACCACCACCATCCACCCAACCCCTCTCCACTGGCTGGTGTACGACAGGCAGGGGTGTCTGCCAGGGTGACACGCGGGGGAGGAGGGGGTCTGCCCACGGGGAAAGGAGGGTGGGGACATATATGGGTTGGGGGGGGGGGGGTTCAAAAGAAGACCCCGCTTCTTGCTTGGTGCAGAATGGTATCTGGATTTGCAGGTGGGGGAGGACAGGTTGGGGACAAAAAGCTGCTCGGGAGGTGGCCGGTATCCCCACAGCGCGGCTGCCCCGTGCCCCCGTTCCTTCCGCAACTTGGGCAAAGTTGTGCCCCGGCGCAGCAGCCCGGCAGTGCCCGTGCCACGGAGCTGCTGCCGTCGGAAAGTTAGCGGGGACGGCAGCCGGCACGGCAAAGCGTGGGGAGGGCAGGGGGCTGCCCAGGAAGCTCGAGGGATGCTGCTCGGTACGCTGCCCGAGATGCTCGGTCGTTCCCGGGGGATGCTGCCCGCGATGCTCGGAGGATGCTGCCCGCCCTGTATGTTCGGGAAGGTGCTTGCCGGTATGGTAAGGAAATGCTCGGGAGGTGCTAGGGAGATGCCGGGATGATGCCTTTGGTGCCCGGGGCCATGCTCGAGGGTTGCTTGAGGTGTGCTCGGGAAGTGCTCCCCAGGATGATCCCCGGGATATTCGGGGGATGCTCGGGGAGTGCTAGCCGGCAGGCACGGGGACTGCTCCCCGGGCTGCTCGCGGGGTGCTCACCGAGGTACTCGAGGGATGCTGGGGGGATGATCTTCGTTCTGCTGCCCGGGAAGTACGCGGGTGCTCGGCGGTCGCTCGTCGTTTGCTCACCGAGGTACTTGGAGGATGCTCCCGGGATGCTGGGGCGACGCTGCCGGGATGCTCGGGGTCGCGGTCCGGGATGCTCGGGGGCCCTGGAGGTGCTCACCGGCTCTCTCGGGGGGTGTCAGGAGGCTGCCGGGGACTGGCCGACCCCGCGCCACCGGTCCGGCTGCGCGCCCCGCGCTCCGCTCCGCGCCCCGCGCCGCGGCTGGCGGAGCGGCGGGGCCGGAGGGAGGCGGCGGGGCGGGGAGGGGGTGGTGTCTCCAGCCCGGCTCTCCCGCAGGCCAGGCTCCATTAACGAGATTATTATGCAAAAGAAGCAGCCCTGTGCCACCCGCCAGCCTTACCTCATCCTCGCCGGCGGGGAGGTAGGGCAGGGGTGTCCCTGGGCCCCTTTACCCCGGGGGGGCTGGCACAGGGCTGGCAGTACCAGTCCGCCTGGCACCCCCCGTCCGGGGACCCTGCCGCCAGCCCCCGGCAGCCGGACACCCAGGAGGGGCACGGGTGGGCACAGCCGACGGCCTGTGCCAGGAGCATCCCGGCGGCGCGGCACCCCACCCTCCCTGCCCGGGAACCCTGCGGGGCCCGGCCCGGACCGGAGCCCTTCTGCCAGAGTGGGTGCAAGGCGACAGGACTGTGGGTGGGCAGGAGACAGAGCCTGAAAGGCTCCGGGTGAGACGGTGGGCACGGGGGTGGCAGGGGTGGCACGAGGAGGAAGCCGTGCATTCGAACACACACGCAAAGGTCCGGGAATATTAAACTGCATTGCAGATAAATCCCCAACATAAATATCGTGAGCTGCTCTGCCACGGGGGGGCCCAGCAAGGAGATTTATAGCCCAGCAATTCCCACGGTGACCCCCTGCAGTGCCTGGGTACTCTGGCACCCCTCGGCCATCCTGCCTGGGGTGCTCAGGGGTGCCCTGCTACCCTCACTCTCCCGTGCCAGCACATCCCTGGGTGCTCAGAGGGGGCTCTGGGTCTCCTGTGTGCTGGGGAGGGACAGCACATACTGGGTGCTGTGCTGTGGATGGGGCCCTGCTTGTCATGGCACAGGTGGCTTGGTGATGTGGGACCTGCTCTCTTGTCCTGTGGCTACTGTGGGCTGGCTCCAGGCTCAGCTCTTGGTGCCTGGGGCTGCTGAGGCTGCTCTTTCCTGTACTGGGGTGCTGGGCATGGCCCAGGCATGGTGCCTTCTACAGCAGCCAGACCCAGCAGCACCTGCACAGGCAGTGACACACATGTACATCACGTGTACACCCACAGACACTGACACGCACCAGCACAGACACACACTCTGTGCCTTCACACACATTCTCACACTCAAGCACTCACTGCCATTCACGTGTACCCTGGCACACTAAACACAAGCTCAGGTGTTGCAGTTCAGCTTTCATGGGGCACATGCCAAGGCAGAGAGAACCATGAATCCCACGGGAGAGACACCTCAGGCTCAGGCATCCAAAGCAGCCAGGTGTCACCAACCCCAGTGGGATGCAAGGGCACCCAGTCAGGCTGCTTCATGGGTGGGCACAGGGAATCCACCCTGCTGCTCATGAGGCTGCTGGCTGGAAGACAGGGGCATGGGACTCCCCGTGCCTGCACTCACCCAGGCCTGAGACACACTTGGTACCTTGGTTGGAGCATGATGGATGCACGTGGGGGGCGGGGAGGGCCTGGTGTTATTAACAGCCCTGGGTATTGCTCCAACAGGGCTGTAAAAATTAAAGGCGTGTGGATATAAAATAATGGATAAATCTGAGCTGGCCGCAGAGCGCTGCAGAGTCCCGCAGGTGTTGGCATCTCAAAAAGTCAGGATACAGCAGGTGTGGGATGGGCACCTGTGGGTAAATATGGGGCATCAGGTAGTGCCTGCACCCTCTTCCAAATGTTGACTTTCCCAAAAAAAGTCCGCTGAGTGCCCTGAGAGGGTGCACAAGCAGTGCAAACCTGTGGAACTGGTACTGCGAGGCGAGCAGCTGCTGCTGGAGCTGGAATGGAAGAAAAGAGTTTACCCCTTTGCAGACTGGGCTGGGGGACAGGGCACCTGCTTCTGGATGCCCAGCACTGCCCAGCCCACTCACACCCAACAGCAGGATCCGTGCCATGGGGCCAACACAGCCAGAGATCACCAGGTGGGTGTGAGCATCCCGCGGCCCGGCGCTCATCATCACCCAGCTCGCCCGCCCCACTCCGCCCTGCCCATCCCGCGGGCCACCCCGCCGGCATCCTCATTTTCCCCAAGATTAGCCGCGGCGCGGGAGCCTCCGTGCATCGCCAGCAGGTGACAAATAAGATTTTTCCACTCTCCCGAGCACTCGGCATGGGTCTGTCATTGAAAATGCAAAGCAGCGCGGTACCAACCTCCGCCATCCACTCTCACCTCTGTCAGCCCCTCAGTGCTGAGCACCCAGCCAGATGAACCCCCCACCATCACCGCTAGACCCCCACTCCGCCCGCTGCGCTCCCGCGGCAGTGCCGGGGTGCAGGGCATGGTGCCTTCACGCCCAATAAAATAGGGCAGGTTCCCGGGGGTTTCTTACAGGGGTGCTAGTTTGGGAGTGTCAGCCTGGGTGGGCAGCACGGCCTCATGGTGTCCTTTTGGTGCACCCACATGCCTGGCGAAGATTTTCACCAGCGAGGGGTTGTCCCTTATAGGAAACACCTGGGCCAAGACTTGCCTGTTTAGGGTGGGCATCACCCCACAAGTCCCACCCCAAAGAGGCCCATCCCCAGCACCCAAGGCGGGAGTACGAGAGTGCTCCGCCCCACAGCTGGGTACATCCAACCATTACCGGCAACCCTCACCCGTGGACTCACCTTTCCCAAACCCCTCAGTCGTCGTCGTCCCCTCCCCTCCCCCCCCAAAACCCCTCGGTTTCACCAAGCTCCAAACGTGGCATCCCATTCCTGCCGTGCCCCCAGCTCAGAGTAAGGCACTCCCCCAGCAGCCCCCAGCCCCACTCCCCTCGCTGCCGCCGCGTCTCCCCTCCGCTATTGTCAGAGGGTTGCCTCTGCCTCTGTCTGCGAAATTAATTCGGAGGTGGAGAGGGAGAATTATGTAAAGTGTGGTTATTCTGGAGCGGCGGGGGAAGCGAGGCTGATGGCAAAGTGCCTTTTTGTGTGTTTAATATGCATTTTTTTCCAGCGGTGCATTTTCAGGCGGGTAATTTGCTGTCTTTTCAGACCCCGATCAGTATCATTTCTCTGGCAATGACAGCTTTTATTTGCACTGAAATGAATGCTGCAAAATTTCCAAGAAATAGCCGAGGCCCTGTTGGCTGCCCACCCCCGCACGGCAGGGGCATGGGCACCCACCCCCACAGCCCCCTGCCCACGGCCCCGCTTGGCAGCAGAGTCCTGGGGTTCTG